GGTTTAGTTTCAGTATATACTCTATAATAATCATACATAGCTTTCACCCACATATATAAGAATTTAGTAGCAAAAGAACAATTTTTAACAGCGTCTATATTAAACTCAGGTTAAGGAATAACTTTTTCTTCTAATTTTTTAATATGTGCAGGATTAGTAGAATCCTTATCATATTTTAATAATTAATCTAATAATTTTTATGGATCACTTAATAAATATTTTCTTGCAGTTTCAAAAAAGTTTTCTTCTTTTTTACCCCCTATTTATCCTTCTTTGATTGTTAAAATAATTTCACCTCCATTTTATTTAATATACTCTTGCATTAAAATAACAACACCAGCTAATGTAACTTTAACTGCATTAGGTGGAGATCCTAAACTTTTAATTTCAACTAAATGTTCTTTCCTTAATTTTTAGACTTCTACAATAGTTAATTCTAATGTTCTATTTGCATCAGCAACTGAAGCTTCTGCTTAAGTAGCTAATTGAGTAGCTTCTTCTTATTATTTAGTAGCTTCTGATTCTTCTCTTGCAACAATCTTTTATGTATCATCGGCTTCTTATTTATCAACCTTTAATTTCTCCATCATCTTTATTGTATCAATACTTGCTTATTCTAATTTAGGTTGCATGTCTTTCAATGTTATTTTGATTTCCTCAACTGCATCATTAGCAGCTATCAATTTATCTAATCCACCTTTTAGACGTTATATTTATTGATTTAAATCTCTTCTTTTCTCTGATAAAATTGTTCTATACAATTATAACAACTCTAAATAACTAGTAGGAGTAACATAATTATATCTTCTTAATTCTGCCAAGAATCTCTAAGATAATTTCTCTACACTCTTATGAAGATTTTTAAACATTTCAACTAAAACTGGAATTTTACCTTCAATTGCTAATTCTTATTCATAATCTGCTAATTAACCCTTACCAACACCAATTAGTGCTTCTTCTGGCCATTCTGTAAACCAATCTATTGTACAACAATTAACTAATGATGGGAACATTCTTAATCTAGTTGTGAATTGATTTCCTAATGGTGACATTGCAATTATTAAATGAATGTTCTTCTTTACTCTTATTAAATATTGAGTAAATATATTCATTCTTGTTGGTGGTATTTATCTCTTTATACATTCCTATTTACATGCTTATGTTATATCCTCAAAGTCTTTTTCTTAATATATTCCAGTCACATCTCCTGAATTTAAAACATTATTTAAATCTTCTAACATTTATTCATTTATTATCTATGTATCACAAAATAGAAAAGTTACTGGTTTATTTTCTATACCAGCTATCATCAAAACTTTCTTTACATCATCTCTCCAACTTCTCATTGAATAATTCTTGATAACTTCAATTTAAAACAACTTATAATTTGTAACAAATGTTGCCATCCTTGATAATGATTATCGACCACTTCCTCCAACTCCAAGTAATAATGCATTACCTTATGCTTATCTTATAATTCTAGCTATTCTTGAAATATGTTCTGTTGCATCCACAAACATTACTAATCTCATTTGTTTCTTTGCTCCTCCTATTATAAATGTATTATCTGTATTATAATCTTCTTAATAATTATCCATTCTATTAACTAATTAATGCATATCTGGAATCTATTAATATACTTTTATATCTGCATCTCTTGATTACATAAAATCTCCGAAAATTACTCTTTCTGAATCCAATATCTATTCAGA